AACGGAAGGTGAGGTCAGGGCAGTAGGAAGGCCAAGCTGGGTAGGGGCCCGTAGGTTGCTGTAGGGACTTGCCCTGAATGACATAGGAAGCTATGGGAATGACATGACATAGGTTTTTAACTTATATTTAACTTATTTTGACCCTCGAGTTTTTCCTTTTTTGCTGCCCTCTGTATTTGTATTCTCCAAGGGGACTTTTTCTTGACCCCGAATCCTTTCCACTCCACACCCTGGAAATGAGCTCCATGGATCCCACCTTCTGCTGCTTCTCCTGGGGGTTTCTCTGTTGCCCCTCTGGAGGCCACCCCCACTCTGCCACACGGCAAGTGGCCCTCCTGCTTCTGCTGAAGCGGGCGTCAGCTGTTAGGAAAAGCCGCTCCGTCCTGTCCTGAGGGCTCAAGCTGTTCTACTCCACGTCTCGCCCCTCCTTTTGCTGCCATTTACATTCCTTTTAATTATTCTCCATCATTAATTGAAGATGTTTGTCACCCGGATCTTTTTCATCCGAAGAATATCCGACACTGTGGGGCAATCCAGGGCCTAGTGGCTGATGCTCCAGCTCCATAATCCTTGGTCCCAATGTCTATGACACTTTTCTCTTAGTTTGATTCAGCTTCTCATGCCCGGAGCCACAGCTTGGACCTTATGGATTTTCCTTCAGAGATTGTCCATGTCTGAAGTTTTAAACTCTTAATAGCGTGGCGTGAGGTGGGACGTGTCTAGCAGGGTCTGGGATCTAGCTGTCTCCATCCGCCTCCCACCCTCGCAGGACCACACATTGGCCTCTAGGGGGAGCTCAAACTCTCGGTCCCGATGCCCGAAGGACCGGCCGCCTTCGGTGGGGCGAGCTCCGGGCTCTGAGCGCCGGCGGGAAGCAGTGGTAAGTGTGTGCGCAGTGGAGTCACACGTCCTGGTTCAGATCCCATTCTTCCGCTTTCTTACTGTACAGCACTGGGCAGGCTGCTCAAGCTCTCACCTGCAGAATGAGGATGAAGAGGCGTACCCCACAGGGTATACGTGAGGAATAAATGACTTAATGTAAATGTCATACTTACTACAGTGCTTACTGGTTAAAGTTTGATTTTCTTTGAGAGAAGGGAAGAGGTTAAAGGCTATTCTATTGGATGGTCTCTTCTAGTTCCCTCTTGTTTCAAGTAGGAGTTTAAACTTTTGTAAAGCTTCTGTCCTGTGGTATTGCCACACAGTTGTGTGAATGGACGTGGTCACCGCCCCTTTTTCCACAACCCTACTCTGGTCTCCCAAGGCCCAGCAGGACGCAGGCCTGGGGCCAGAGGCAGAAGTGGGAGTGGGTGTCTCTGCAAGTCTCCCTAGGCCGTAAGACGTTCTTTTCCTTGGGTTCATTGAGCAGCGAATATGCAGGTAATACATGTTTTCCTGTTTTTGTGTAATACATACATAGCTCAGAGCAGAAGTTCACCACAATGAGCGCATGCTGTGTAGTTCCTTTTATATAAAGGGGAAAACAGAAGAGGCAAAACCAATCTCTGTGGTTAGAGGCCAGGTGGGGATTTCTCTTTGAGAGCAGAGGTGTGGTGACTAGAAGGGAGCCAGAGCCCTATGAAGAGGACGGTCCCGGGGCTCTGGACACGTCCTGGTTTTGAGCTGGGTCTGCCCATTCAGCTGTGCCAGCTTTGTGAAAAATTTTCAGGCTGTCTGCTTGATTTGTGTACTTTCCTTTAAATATATTTTATTTTAGTAAACAAAGTTTTAAAATGAAAGAAAAATCGTTAGAAATACAGGAGACTTGCACAGAAGAATAGTTATTTTAGAGATTTTATCATACTGCTTTAGGTTTTCTGCTTAAATAAAAAACAGGTTTTTGAGTAATACAGCTAGATTGTATTTATGCGTATTTATACTATATCCTAAAACATATATACACTCTTTTAAAAACATTTTCATTAATTCTATTTTATACCGAAGAGAAATCCTCACATGCTAAAAGCAGGAATTGTATACAACATGTGACAAATGTATAAAACACATGATACAACATATTTGTTTAATATTTTAAAGAAAATTAATCACTTGGAGTATCCCAAATAAATATTTGGCCAATGA